TTTCAGGTCTTTAATTGTTTTAATACTGATGATTATGGCATACAGCTCATGAAAACCCAAAATGCCTGTCCGAAAAAATTAGCATATCATGAAAAGGTTCTCTAAACAAGCTATTAACCTAACCATCTGAATCAACGACGTAACTCTAAACACCTGCAAAAGATTCCTGAGGCTTTTAAAAACTCCCAGCCTTGTTCATTACGCAAAACCGCAATCATGGGTAAGACTGCCGACCTGACTGCTTTCCAGAAGGCCATCATTGACACCCTCAAGCAAGATGGTAAGACACAGAAAGAAATTGCTGAACGAATAGGCTGTTCCCAGAGTGCTGTATCAAGGCACCTCAGTGGGAAGTCTGTGGGAAGAGAAAAGTGTGGCAGAAAACACTGCACAACGAGAAGAGGTGACTGGACCCTGAGGAGGATTGTGGAGAAGGGCCGATTCCAGACCTTGGGGGACCTGCGGAAGCAGTGGACTGAGTCTGGAGAAGAAACATCCAGAGCCACCGTGCACAGGCGTGTGCAGGAAATGGGCTACAGGTGCCGCATTCCCCAAGTCAAGCCACTTTTGAACCAGAAACAGCGGCAGAAGCGCCTGACCTGGGCTACAGAGAAGCAGCACTGGACTGTTGCTCAGTGGTCCAAAGTAATTTTTGGGGATGAAAGCAAATTTTGCATGTCATTCGGAAGTCAAGGTGCCAGAGTCTGGAAGAAGACTGGGGAGAAGGAAATGCCAAAATGCCAGAAGTCCAGTGTGAAGCACTCACAGTCAGTGATGGTCTTGGGTGCCATGTCAGCTGCTGGTGTTGGTCCACTGTGTTTTATCAAGGGCAGGGTCAATGCAGCTAGCTATCAGGAGATTTTGGAGCACTTCATGCTTCCATCTGCTGAAAAGCTTTATGGAGATGAAGATTTCATTTTTCAGCACGACCTGGCACCTGCTCACAGTGCCAAAACCACTGGTAAATGGTTTACTGACCATGGTATTACTGTGCTCAATTGGCCTGCCAACTCTCCTGACCTGAACCCCATAGAGAACCTGTGGGATATTGTGAAGAGAAAGTTGAGAGACGCAAGACCCAACGCTCCGGATGAGCTTAAGGCCCCTATCGAAGCATCCTGGGCCTCCATAACACCTCAGCAGTGCCACAGGCTGATTGCCTCCATGCCATGCCATATTGAAGCAGTCATTCATGCAAAAAGATTCCTGACCAAGTATTGAGTGCATAACTGAACATGATTATTTGAAGGTTGGCGTTTTTTGTATTAAAAACACTTGTCTTTCATTGGTGGGATGAAATATGCTAATTTGTTGGGACAGGCATTTTGGGTTTTCATGAGCTGTATGCCATAGTCATCAGTATTAAAACAATTAAAGACCTGAAATATTTCAGTTGGTGTGCAATGAATCTGAAATATATGAAAGTTTCATTTTTATCATTATATTATGGAAAATAATGACCTTTATCACAATATGCTAATTTTTTGAGAAGGACCTGTATGTGAGTTTCACAGCATAAATGCGTGCCCGCTTTATAGCTTATAAACGGGTGGCAATGAACGCGCGCTTCCAGACGGATGGGCGAACCGTTTTCATCCGGGATTCACGCTGCAGTTCAGCTCAAACCCCGGTGTGGAGGAACTCTGTGACGTTTTTTCTGTCATTTATGAACAGATCTTGTCCCCTCTAGCAGAAGCTCAGGAAATTCTGTTTTAAATGTAATTTCTAGAGTCTCAGAAGGAGAGGAAAACGCAAGGTCTCTCTCATCACTTCCTGGTCCCAATGAACTGGAAAGATGAGATTTATTCTAGATTGTCAATTTCTGAGCTGTGAGAAACAACACTCCATTATGCGCCCGAGCCGCTTTAATTCTGCTTTATCTGGACACCTGCTGCTACTGAGCAGCTTGTACAGACAGGTGGCAGCAGTGCAACTCACGTGAACCGGTTGAGTGATATCAGCTGTTTTCTGTCAGCAGACCTACATCACACACATTTAACAAGCTGTGGGGCCGCTGTGGCTCTCCACACAGCAGCTCTTTTAAATGTTTTTGGAGTGTTGCACGGGTTCTTTGAATGTGACTCAACACTGACCTTGAGCTGCAGAATCATCAGGGTTTTTGATTCACACAGACAGCAAGTGACTGTTGCATACATACTGGCAGGAGATGTATGCGTTTTCAACCCATGTGCCACATTGTGAGACAGATGCTGTGTGGGGCACACCCAATCTGCTCTCCATTGGAGTGGGTACATCTCATGTATTCCGAACAGGGGGCGGATGTGATGCCCAAAGACGGTCTTTTGGGGCATGGGGACCTGGGACTTTCCACCCAGAGCTATGGCTCAGACACGGTAGAAATCTTGCCAGCGTCTGTGGACGTGTAGCAACACGAGAGAACGCTCAATGTCAATTATAATTATCGTGGAGCCAAGGGACGATCCACCGCTGGGTGGACGTGCCTGCTCACAGCCTGTGGTTGTAATGCCTTTTCACCTTCTTCTCTCCCTCTGATATCACGGTTTTCTGAACCGAGCTCAGGAAGAGGGACTGGCAGCTCCTCTGTCCCAAGTGCGTGAACGCATCATGGTTCCCAGGCCTACGACATTTGTTACCAGGGCGCTCGTGGAACCTGCCGTGGAGGGAGGACGCTCTCCTCCAGGCGGGAGGAACGATCAGGAATTAATCAGAATAGGCCAGCACCTGTGGTTTGGCCGCTGTGCGGATCTTTTTGAGAGGATGGATCTCTCTCAAGATGTAGTGCGTACGATTCAGGAGTCACGTGCTGCAACCACCACAGCGCTGTCCACATCAAGTGGTCAGTTTTTCAATGCTGCTGTACAGAGAAAGGCATAGAGGCCACTTCATGTCCACTGGACGACATGCTGTCCTTTCTGCAGCAGTCGAGGGACAGAAATCTGGTGTCCAGCACGACTATCGTATGCTACAGCCGTGTTTTCTTCTTGTCTCAAAGTTGTCGGAGACAGAACAACCTTTAATCATCCTCTTACGGAGCTTTTTGTCTCAGATTGATATAGCAGCTGTGGGCCTGTTTGTGACACGAGAAACGCTCAGTGTCAATTATGCGTTTCTCTGAGCCCACGAGACGAACCAGCGCTGGGGTGGATGAGTTTGTCCACGGTCCATGGCCCAAAATGCTTCTGTACACGTTTTTCTCCACCTCCTCTGATTTTACGGTTCTTGAACAGAGCTCAGGAGGAGGGATTGACAGCTCTCCTGGTGGCCCCGAACGCGTGAACGCACCATGGTTCCCAGCCCTGCAACGCCTGCTGTCGGGGTGCCTGTGGGAACTGCCGTAGAGGGAGGACGCTCTCCTCCAGGCAGGAGGAGCGACCAGGAGTTACCCAGAAATAGGCCAGCACCTGTGGGTCTGGCCGTTGAACGAATCCACTTAGAGAGGATGGGTTGCCCACAGGATGTGATGCGCACAATTCAGGTTTCACGTGTTGCATCTACCACAGCGATGTACACATAAAGCGGACAGCTTTTCAGTGCTGGTGTACAGAGAAGGGTGTAGAGGCCACCTCATGTCCATTAGGTGGCATGCTGTTCTTTCTGCAGCAGCTGATGGACAGAAATTTGCATCCAGCACGTTTAAAACGCACGCTGCAGCCATCTCTTCCTGACACGAAGGTTTCTGAGACAGAACAGGTTTTAATCATCCGCTGATGAAGCGTTTTTCTAAAAGGTGTACAGAGACGCAGGCCTGTTTCACACCCACTTGTTCCAGTGGGATTTAATACTGGTCCTGCAGGTCCTGATCAAAGCTTCATTTGAATCTTTGGATCAGGTTCCACTTAAATGCTTGTCTCTTTAAACAGACCCAGGCATCCTTCGCAGGTGTCGTGCAGGTCAAAACTCAGCAAGTAGCCGGTCTTGCAGGACGGACACAGGCGGATGGTGTTGGTGCTGGACATTTTTGTTGAAGGTCAGTGCTATTAGCTTGCTGAAGAAAATTGGGAGCCGATTACCCGCTCTTAACGTAATTTATACTGACCGGGTGGTGCCCACACAGCAGGTGGGCATGGACTAAACTTTTCAGTGCGATGCTTTGCATGATGGGATAAAACCCACTAGCGTCAGCTTTTAAAGGGCAAAGCCTATACGAAATAGAACATCCCCCTACCTCATGTTTAACTAAGGTCGAAAATAAATTTTCAAGATCTTTAGCGTGTTTGGGTTTATAGTTAGGGTGCAGTGTGGTGTGGTCAGTTTAGTCAGTTTTAGTGTGCTTGAGTCAAAACAACGGGGCAATTTTAAACTTGAAGCTGCAGCTTCTGTTTGAAGTGGAGGATGGAGCTGCAAACCCAGAAATGGACGAAGCAGAGGAGTCAGAACTTCTCAGAGAGAAGAGGCAGAGATGAAAAAGAAAAACAGAGGCTGAGACAGAGTGAGGACTTGTTTGAGGAAATGAAAGATTATTTGTTGTTTCTTCTTCATCACTTGTAGATAAGTCATCATAGATTTCTTCTAAATTACAAACATTTTTCACTGAAATCTCCTCACTAGCATAAGCCTCCATCCAGAATATACACTTCTGCCTGTGAATACACACTCATGCCCATAAATACACACTCTTGCCGGTGAATGTACACTCCTGCATGCGTCAGATCCCCAGCATGACATCTTCAGCCTTCGGTAACCGTCGACCGCATGCTCAGGTATTTCTGTGACTGGTTTGTTTAAAAAAAAATTTCAGACGTACGTGGCCCGAATGGAGAAATACAAATAAAAAAATTGTATTCTACAACAGTCTACCCATTAAGAGCATGTGGGACTATAAAGGTGGGTGATGGACTTTAAGGAGAAAGTAAATCTTTAGTAAGAGTGTTCCGATAGAAGCTCTGATCAGCAGACAGCATTACATCAAACTGAACAAACATCTCCTCCTCCTCTGAAGTTGTGATGAAAAGAAACTGGACACTCAGAATGAACAGGTAACACTGAGCAGGGCATTGCTGGTAATGAAGGCATTTTACCTGGATCATTATGGGAGTCTGACTGTCGGATTGGGTCCAAACTGCTGGATGATGAACCTGAAAAAACAAACAAAAAAAACCCTGATTTCAACGATATAAAATATTTCAACAAGGGATGAACTGATACCAATACGGTCAGAATCAGAATCACTGTCATTGCACCAAAGCTACATTTCAGTACAGCCCATTCGAGAGAAACAAACAGACATGGGGAGACGGAGGTGACTGAGGCTGCTGATCTCGAGAGGTGCAGCCCTTTTTTCAGATAAGGAAAAAGAAACACGAGGGGGAGGGGAGGTGTAAAAAAAAAACAATCAAATCTTGCACTGTGTTCTAGACGGGACATAGCGTGAAAGTTACAAAAAAATTACCTCAGCACATGAAGCAGCAACATACTGATGACATCATAATACATTTATGCATAAGGAGACTGACGAGGACAGTGAGTTGTCCGTAGATACTGACAGAAAGTTCCATAGTCCTGATAAAGATGGCAAAGTGTCTGTCAGCCGGCACAACTCTGACACAGATACACAGATGTCCTCGGGAGGGGAGCAATCAGGGGGGATGGAGCTTCTCGTTCACATAAACAACCAGGAGAAGTTGAGATAGCTGGCCAATTCAAGGCTGAGTGGGGAAGCCAAATTCAGATAATTATTTTGGGTCAGGCAGCATCTACTTGAATTTCCATGTCTGCCTTCAAAGGTCTGCTGGTACGTCTCACTGGTGATTCCAAACAGCCAAATTTTGTGGTCATACCGCCGGACAGATCTTGTAGCTTCTCCAAGGTCGAGTCATTCATGCCAGTGAGTCCCAGGAGCTGCAAGTGGTCTGCGATTCTCAGAAATTGTGTCCAGCTTATGGCTCAGCTCATGTAGCGTCTGAGTCTGAGAGCTTACCGCTCAGTACATTCCTTCATACAAGAAGACAGACACAGTTGCCAGAACCACTGCTGCCGTCTTCCAAATTTGTTGATATGCCAGATACTCGCAAACACCAAAAAGCAGAAATCCAGTTATTATAAATCCAATTATGTATGCGTCTTCTACATCCTCAACACACAATGTAGACAGACACGCTATCTTCCACTGCCCCCACGAATCCATAGTGTATCCAGCTGCAAGTGTCCCCTCAGGGCATGAGGGCTCTCCTTCGCCTTGTCTTCTCGTTGAGAAAATTTTATCAATTGCATTGAGAGAACAGCTGACCAGATCTATAATTTACAATTTGGAGGATATGTAGTTAGAGCATAGGCGTCGCAACCATTATATGTGAAGGGTACAAGTCCCCCCCACATTAAAAAAACGTTCATTTGGACCCCCCCCCCCCCACACACACACACACACACACACTTTTACTATAAAACATTAGTTCAGGCGGCACAGTTTCTCTTTCTTCGTGAACGAATCCATTCCACTTGATTAAAAGAAGAATACTCAAATCACTAAAACTCCACTCCAGGTTTTCCTGGTTACCTCCAACTCTCCACCGTCGCTTCATGCCTCTTGCCTCGGAAGAAAACGTGCACAGGTGTAGGAGGTGGAGGTACCTGTGTTACTCGCTCGCCAGTTTAGCGAGCTTAGTGTGGGCAGTTGTTGACCAGAGGGTTGATCATAAACATATATTCATGTTAGGAGGAGAGAAGTGGAGCGCTACGTCTGTAGCATCTTATCTTAGCAGTAACTGTGACGCTGTCAGACGCTGCAGGTGTAAGAAACGTGGTGTGTTCAGGTGCATTAAAGTTGAAATGTCTTTAAAAACACCACACCTTATTGTCCTCAAGCTTCATGAGAAACAGCATCTAGATGAGGAGTGTTGAACACAAGTAAAAAAGCCCAGTGGTGATGTTTTTTATTTCTCTATAAAGACAAATAGTGCCGGCCTGATGCTCTGTATTAAAGTTAAAATGTCTTTAAAACTCACAGCTGAATTTACACAAACTTGGTGAGAAACATGTTTTAAATGTGTGGAATTAAAGGAAATCTAGGTGAAATGCTGCTTTTTTGTTCACTAGTGAACACCTTTTTTTAACGTGTCCTCACACGTGCACGCGCACACACACACACACCTACACACATCATTGTTTCCCCCCACATTACGGATGCTTCTGACGTCCTTGAGTTAGAGGCTCTGATAGGAATTACAAAGGTGTGCATACTTGTACTTGAAAAGGTGTTCTGATGCCACAGTACCAGTCACACTTTACAGTGGCCTGGTGTTCTGAGCCACCAGGAGGAGCAGGGACTTTTAAGTAATTAATTACAAAAGTAAAGCAGACTCTACAAGCAGTACCCTGATGTTGCCCGTTGCTGAAGGATTTGAATAGAGAATGTTTGTAGTTTTCAAGGTGAGTGTTGTTCTGGACTGGAACTGAAAAGGAAATGCAAGTAAATTTTGGAAGCTAAGCCAAACTCCTGAAACACAGCAGTGAAGGTTACCTATGGGACAGATCTGGTTGGCAGGCCGCAGACTGAGGAAGTCCTCTGGATGGGGGACGAAACATTACTCACTTAAAAGAAACTGGTTTAGATGAAATGATTTAATTTTTTTTGTTGCAAGTAAACCCTAATGTTTTTAGTGCAAGATAGTCAAGTGAGTAGGAGTTGCACTGTGCAGAAGAACAGGCGAAAGCCAGGGCGTGGTCAATGGTGGCTTTAGCTGCCATAGATTAATCTTTGGCCAGCCCAGTATTTAGAGAAATCTGTAGTTTTAAGCAATAAAAAACCCAGAAAGCATAGTTTTATCAAATTTTCGAGCCATCTAGGATTTTGATGTGGTACACACACATAAATACTACCCCCCCACCCCCCACCCCACCACACACACACACATTTCACCTTCAAATTAACTGCTAATCCTAGAGGTTCACATACTTTCACCACTTTTGAGGAGTGTGTAAGCAAGGCAGTACATTCAGTGTCTAAAGGCTTCACGTGTGAAGATTACCTGTACATTCAGGCCTAACGACATCATCCTGTTTTACTGGTAGCAGAGGGCTCAGGGTGATGACATCATCAGATAAGGACAGCAAGGACTGGCTCAGGTGTTTACTTCTCCTCTTCTTCTCCAGCTGAGTAGCTGCCAGGCTGCGCAGGAAGGTGCCTCTGTGAAGGGGAGACCAGGAGAGACCAGGTCATGCCAAGTAGCCCTCATGAGACCAGGTGACCCTGGCTACATCAGCTGATCCAGAAGTGACCAGGTGAAACCCAGTGGCCCAGATGAGACCATGTGACCTGAACAAGACCCAGATGCTCCTGCATTCAGACTCAGATGGAACAAGAACACTTTGGGGAAACAATCTTTTGATCAGATCTTTCAATTATTTGGTCAGTTGAGTGATCAGTTCTCCTAAAATGATCTGAAATCTGAAAATTAAAAATGTGTTTCAACTGTGGCTCAGACCAATTGATTCAGAGCAGAAGACCTAAAAGGAAAATGAAAATAAACAAAGTGAGAAATAATAGGAACAACTAAATTAATGTAAAATAAGTTAAAGTTCTTTTATTCTTATTTATTTTTCAAAGATGTAACTCTTCTCCTGTTCGGAGGTCATCATGTTGTTCAGGGTTTCAACTTCAAAAATAAAAGTTTGTATAAACCAGAGAACATTGGGACCTATGGACGAGTCTCACTGTTGGTTTGGAGCCAAAGCTGAGGTGTGATGAAGAAACGAGCAGGAGGAACAACACAAACGGCAGCATGGAGGCAAAAACACAACAATTCAAATAAACGTGCAAAACCAAACCAGATGACACCCAGGGATTAGACTATACTCAGAATCAAACCCAGCAATGTGTCAGCCCCACCACCAGACACACATCAATCTGTAATGACAGATTAAAGTCCAGAACCATCAGCACTCATAACATCCTGCCCATTTGGTTGCTTTTCACTGATGAGGGAGGAACTCACCACTTTCTGACCTTTCAGGAGCGTCGGGTACAAAGACAAACTGCTGTAAATCTTTTCTCACAGAGGACTTGAGAGTTTCTTGAGATTCATTAAAATACGTTTGCCCTAAACTTCCAAACAAATCCCTGAAAATCTGCAACAGTAATTGTTAATCATCTTTACGATGTTCAGAGGCGGCCCATTATCAGGTTTGTGTTTCTATATGACACGAGCGGTACGCCCATGTCCCCCGTCACTGAGGGATTTGAACAATGAATGTTTCTAGTTTTAAAGATGAGTGTTTTTCTGGAGTGGAACTGAACAATTAATGCAAGTAAACCTAAATGTTTTTGGTGCAAGATGTTCAAGTGGGTAGGAGCTACACTGTGGACCATCCATCATCTTTACCAGCTTCTTCCTTTTAGGGTCACTGGTGCCCATGTCCAGCAGTCACTGTGTGAGAGGTGGGGGACACCCATGACAGGTCCAAGTCCATCACAGGGACACATAGAGACAAATTGAGACAAACAACCATTCACTCTCTCACTCACACATAGAGACAATTTAGAGTTACCAATCAGTCTAACATGCATGTTTTTGGTCTGTGGGAGGAAACCGGAGTAACTGGAGAAAACCCACACATGCACAGAGAGAACATACAAACTCCATGTAGACAGATCTGTGGCCGGGATTTGATTTGGCAACATTCTCGCTGCGAGGCAACAGCTCTACCAACTGTGCCGCCCTCCTGACACACATGATGAACAGTTCATACATCCACCTGTATGAAACTAGATGAGTGAATATAAAAGCTGCACAAAGTGGAGCAGGAAACATCTTTAACAACAACGGCTTTAGTTTTATCAGAAGAAATAACAACTGGTGAACACACAGAGAGCGAGTCTTTAGAGACCGACAGGATTCTCTGAGGACGACTGAGTTTTAGTCTTCAAGGTCAGTCCTTCTGGAACTGTGCTTTGAGCTGCGGCCGATCTTGGATCGCGACACAGCGAGGAGCCATGCACTGCCCGTGCACATGCAGCTGCTGACCACACTGGAGTTCCTATAGCAACAAGGTAATTCCAGAGGGAGCTAGCAGACCGATCAGAAATGAGCCTGTCCACCCTGAGTCAAGCCATGCCAGCTGTGTAGGATGGAATGATCCATGCATCAACCAGGTACATCGAAATACCCACAATGCAGCTGAACAGACCAGCATTAAAGAATTACAGCATAGGCTGGTTTTCCTGATGTAATCGGAGCTATAAACTGCACACGCATTGTTGTAAAAGCTCCATCACAGGATGAAGACGTTTCTGCTAACAGAGATCCTGGATCAACAAGAATAAAATGAGACTAGAAAGTTCCTGGAGAAACTTTGACGGAGACTGCCAGGCTGCGGTCATTTTAAATTTTTGATTAGACTATTGCTGCACTTTACTTAGACCTGTCTAAAGCTTTTGATGCTGTGGATCATGACATCTTGTGTCATAAGCTCTCAGAAATTGGTTTCTCAGATCATACCATTGGTCGGCTCTCTATCTTTCAGAGACAATGTGTTCAACATAATGGTACGTCCTCCAGTTACTTAACAGTCAACAATGGTGTACCACAAGGCTCAGTCTTAGGACCCACCCTCTTCACAATCTACATATGTAGGTCAGATCATTCCTGATACATCCTTACATTTTTATGCTGACTACAGTTGTTTATTGTCGAGCTAAAACAGTTGCTAAGGTTTTCCAGCTTTTACAGTCTGCTTTTGACATCATCAAGTCAGATTTGTTCCATCTCAAACTGGTGCTAAATGTGGATAAAACTAAAGGGATGGTGTTTTCAAACAGGAAGTCGGTACAAACAGCCCTTTCTTCTATTTTAATCTTTGTATGGTGTTCCTATTGAGTGTCGATTTTTATAAATACTTGGGTATTTTGGTTGATTCACATCTCTCTTTTAAGCCTCATGTTGAAAACTTGGTAAAGAAAATGAAAGTTAAACTGGGTTTCTTTTTCTGAAATAGATCCTGTTTAACTCTGAATGTTAGGAAACACCTTGTAACTGTGACTTTCCTTTCCTCCATTGACTAAAGTGACAATATTTACATGAACACTCCTACAAGCACCCTGCAGATGTTGGATACGGTCTATCACGGTGCACAAAGATTCATAACTGGCTGTGATTATCGTACCCACCACTGCACCCTATATTCACTGGTTAACTGGACATCATTAACTTCACGCAGACTCTCTCTCCACCTTTTTGATTCTCAGGAGATTCCTCAGGTGCAGGGCACATTTCAATCTATTTACATATTTAAATGGAGGCGTGTACCGGGAGGAGTCAGGTATTCCATCATGGCTGCTCAATTCCACATTGACTGGGATCTACTAAGGAAGTGTGTTTGGATTCATGTCCGTGCACCGTTTCATGCATTTGGATTTATTTGAGCATACGCCATGTGTCAGTAGGAAATCCACACAAGTCTTTGTACATGAGGCGCCTGAGCCAGAACTAGGTGGAGTTCATGCTCAGTTCCCATGGAATCAACTGAGGAAGAGATATGATGGGACACACACACGCACGCACACACAGAAAGTAACACTGATTCCTGTCAAACCCAAACTTGAACTTTTGCCCAGGGACAGAATCATTTCCATGAAGATTTCCCAAAAAGAAGCTGATTGACAACCATGTGAGAGTGGAATCAGATTTTCACCCCCAACACACACCCACACCGTGCAGCACTGCAGCTCCCATCATGCAGTGGGGCTGCAGGCGTACTTACTGGAGCTTCCTCAGAACCGGTTTGTCCAGGTTTGCATTACAGTTGTCTGGGCTGCAGAGACACAACAATCATCTCAAACTGGTTTAACACGCGCACATACACACGCACGCACGCAAGAACGCATGCACGCAAGAACGCACGCGCACACACACACACACACACACACACACACACACACACACACACACACAAGCACACGCATGCACAATGCTCCAGTCGGCAGGAGCTCCACTGCATGAAGACCCAAAGAACCCAAAGAGGAACACTTGTCTGATCATCTTCCCTCTGACTGTCTCACTTCAAGACTTTTTATTGTTTCTATGTTCATTTGCATCATTTCATAGTCAGGAACCAGAACCAGAACAAATATTTAGACAGAAAACAGGAGACACAGAGAGTCTCAGGACACACGAGTTGTTGATAAATTCATGGAAAGGTTTTTAATTTTCCACCCTGCAGTTGAAAACACCTGAAAATATTAAACCAGACTGTTTTATGCAGCTGGACTCCACACTGAAATACAGACAGGAGAAGGAAGAGGAGGAGGAGGAGGAGGAGGAGGAGGAGGATGAAAAGGGGAGGACAAATACTCACCAGAGGACCTCCTCAACCTCCACTGAGCTGGTGGAGGATGAAAGGAAAAGAAAGAAGAAGACAAATATTAGCGCAACTAATTGAAATAACATGGTTTATTGGAGGAAGGCCTAGGAGTTCTGTGATTGGTCAGATTCAAGCTGCAGGCCAAATCTACTTCCTGTTTCCTGTCATGTGAAGATGTGATCTAACGTTCACCATCTTTTTACAACTGTTACTGTCTGAAAACACAAACACTGTCAGAAATCAGAGCTTCACTAACTCAGACAGAAATTATACAAAACAAGCCCATGATCCAACTTACAGCTGGAAACTAGAAGTAACTGAATCTAGCCGATGATCCAACCTATGAGCTAAAAGTAGCCAAAGCTAACCGATGATCCAACTTCTAGCAATAACCAAGAAGTAGCTGAAGCTAGCCGATGATCCAACTTCTAGCTATAAGCTAGAAGTAGCTGAAGCTACCCGATGATCCAACTTTTATCTATAAGCTATAAGTAGCCAAAGCTAACTGATGATCCAACTTCTAGCTATAAGTTAGAATGAGCCGAAGCTAGAAGATTATCCAACTTCTAGCTATAGCCAAAGCTAGACGATGATCCAACTTATAACTAGAAGTAGCCAAAGCTAGACAATGATCCAACTTCTAGCTAGAAGTAGCCAAAGCTAGACGATTATCCAACTTCTAGCTAGAAGTAGCCAAAGCTAGACAATAATCCAACTTCTAGATAGAAGCTAGAAGTAGCCAATGAGACTGATGAGAACTAGCTATAAGATAGAAGTAGCATAAAAAGTAAAATGGAGCCAGTCAGCTGAAGCAGATTTAAATTAATTTGATTAGGTCTGAATGTAGTTCTGTGGTAAAATATTTGTAAATAAAGATAAATATTTTGAAAATTATAAAAGTTAGAAAATCAGAAGTCACAGCAATGGTCTCCGAAACGAGCTGAATGTTTTGTTGTATGTACAGCTACAAAGGCAGAAATTCAAAAGTAGTTACGATTGTAAAAAAATAATAAAAAATAAAAAGTAAAGTACTGTCATTGACTTGGCATTCAGACAAATCTTTTAGAAGAAAAAAATAGAAAAACATGCTTAGATTGTAATAAAAAGAACAGAATACGTCGACCGATCCAGATCATCCTGATTCAACAAACAGCTGAAAATATAAAAACTGAGCCAGAAAAAAGAAGAAAATTATTCCAACAGAAGAAACTGAAAACATTCAGATTATGTGAACAATAATATCTGTAATTATATGGATAAAACAGAGAAATAAAGTTATGATCCAAACAAAATCACAATGTTTAAAATGACACAGAGCAGTTCTGGGATCATGATGAAAGATGATTCAGTGAAGAACCAGGAGGAAACAACAAACATCAACCAGAACCGCTTTTTAAACCTTTATATTTCAGACATGCTCAGGGTTCAAGCTCAGGACTGAAAACATCCAGAACTGGTCAGAGGATCCACTGTACGCAGCAGGTTAAATTGGTCCTGTCAGTCACAATACATGTCTTCCAGTTGCCATGGTTACCACGCCACATCACTCACCTCAGACTGGTCTTACTCTGCGTCCTGCTGCCAGGCGGCTCCGACACACACTTCTCCTGACACGAAACGTCTGAGCAAGGGGAGCTGCAACACACACACACGCACGCACGCATGCACACACACGTTTGTGAAATACTCAATATTTTGGTGCATCAGTTTGAAAGCTGATATATATATATATATATATATATATATACACACAATTCCTTCTCAAAAAATTAGCATATTGTGATAAAGGTCATTATTTTCCATAATGTAATGATAAAAATGAAACTTTCATATATTTCAGATTCATTGCACACCAACTGAAATATTTCAGGTCTTTAATTGTTTTAATACTGATGATTATGGCATACAGCTCATGAAAACCCAAAATGCCTGTCCCAAAAAAATTGGCATATCATGAAAAGGTTCTCTAAACAAGCTATTAACCCAACCATCTGAATCAACGATGTAACTCTAAACACCTGCAAAAGATTCCTGAGGCTTTTAAAAACTCCCAGCCTTGTTCATTACTCAAAACCGCAATCATGGGTAAGACTGCAGACCTGACTGCTGTCCAGAAGGCCATCATTGACACCCTCAAGCAAGAGGGTAAGACACAGAAAGAAATTGCTGAACGAATAGGCTGTTCCCAGAGTGCTGTATCAAGGCACCTCAGTGGGAAGTCTGTGGGAAGGGAAAAGTGTGGCAGAAAACGCTGAACAACGAGAAGAGGTGACCGGACCCTGAGGAGGATTGTGGAGAAGGGCCAATTCCAGACCTTGGGGGACCTGCGGAAGCAGTGCACTGAATCTGGAGTAGAAACATCCAGAGCCACCGTGCACAGGCGTGTGCAGGAAATTGGCTACAGGTGCCGCATTCCCGAGGTCAAGCCAATTTTGAACCAGAAACAGCGGCAGAAGCGCCTGACCTGGGCTACAGAGAAGCAGCACTGGACTGTTGCTCAGTGGTCCAAAGTACTTTTTTCGGATGAAAGCAAATTTTGCATGTCATTCGGAAATCAAGGTGCCAGAGTCTGGAGGAAGACTGGGGAGAAGGAAATGCCAAAATGCCAGAAGTCCAGTGTGAAGCACCCACAGTCAGTGATGGTCTGGGGTGTCATGTCATCTTCTAGTGTTGGTCCACTGTGTTTTATCAAGCACAGGGTCAATGCAGCTAGCTATCAGGAGATTTTGGAGCACTTCATGC